AGCTGTAATCCATAATCATCTGAATTATGACAAATCACGGCTTGAACTATCTTGCTTTGCATGTAATGAGTCTATCTCATATATTAGGTTCACCTTTTAAGTTGCATTACTGAAATAAATGAACTTTTGCACGATATTCTAATTTTTTGAGTTTCACCTGTATTTAATCTGGTGAGAAAAGGATAATGTGCAGCAACAGAGTGGTCAATGTCTGGAATACTCTACCTGACTCTGTGGTTTCTTCCCCAAACCCCAAAAACTTCAACCTTAGACTTTCTACTATTGAGCTCACTCCTTTCCTAAGAGGCCTGTAGGGGGCATGCATAAGCGCACCAATGTGCCTACCGTCCCTGTCCTATTGTTTCTTTTTAATTTTCTTATATGTATCCATTTCATGTATTCATAACCATGTTTATACTTATACCTGTTATTTAATAATCGTTTGACAAAATAAATAAAATAAAAACATTTATGCAGAAGTTTTTTCTGACAATTCAGAGCTGCAAAAGAAAATGTATGGCGCTCTTAGGATAAAATTGAGCTCAAACTTGCTGGTTTGTTGATAAAAGCAAGCACTCCTTCATAAGAAATGCGTTTATTGGGAGGTCCCTTGGGGTAACAATGGTGGTCAGCAGAACAAATTCCTGGCAATGCAGAACGAAGACATTCAGAATCTGCAAGACTACCTAATTCTCCTCCAGTCTTTCCTGATCAACCATCTGGAAATTGGTAGGGGAACACGTATCATCCGCAGCATTAATTTTCTACATACCATGAGAGGGAGGCTCAATCTAGATACCAATTTATTTCCAAGACTTGCTACTTTTTTTTTAAGGTGGCATCTGGGCTATCTCCTTTTCCCAGTAGTCTGCAAAAGTTCAGCATAAAGGACCCGACATCATCCCCAGGCAAAATAATGTGGAAGAATGATGTGCTTGCTGACAATTATATATTCTAATGTGCTTCCTACATTTTGTTAATACTAACAGATTTAACAGATTGATAGTTGAAGGGTTCTAGTCCAACCCTCAGCCCAAGCAGGAGACCTTACACCATTTCTGACAAATGGCAGTCTAATCTCTTCTTGAAAGCCTCCAGTGATGAAGCTCCCACAACTTTCGAAGGCAAGCTGTCCCATTGGTTGTTCTCACTGTCAGAAAATTTCTCCTTATTTCCAGGTTAAATCTCTTCTTGTTCAGTTTCCACCCATCATTCCTTGTCCTGCCTTCAGGTGCTTTAGAAAATAGTTTGACTCCTTCCTCCCTGTGGCAGCCCCTCAAATATTGGAAGACTGCTATCCTGTCTCCCCTGGTCCTTCTCTTCACTAGACTAGCCAAGCCCAGTTCCTGTAACCATTCTTCCTATGTTTGTCTTGGTGGGATTCAATTTTTTTTTACTACTGGTTCTATGGGTGTGGCAGGGAAAGGAATCTCCATTCCCTCCCCATTCCTGGAGGAAGGTCACTGCAAAATCCCCATTCCCTCCCCACCCCACTAACCTGCTTTCCAGCTCCATTCTCCTGTGCAGGGCAACAAAAGAAGACCCAGCCGATCAGCTGGGACTCAGGGGGCGGGGCCAGTCAGAGGTGGTATTTGCCAGTTCTTCAAACTACTCAAAATTCCCGCTACCGGTTCTCCAGAACTGGTCAGAACCTGCTGAACACCACCTCTGGTTCGTCTCCAGTCCCCTAATCATCCTGGTTGCTTTTTGCACTTATTCTAGAGTCTCAACACCTTTTTTATAGGTTGGTGACCAAAACTGGATGCAGTCTTCTAGGTGTGGTTTATAGAGTGGTATTAATACATCACTTGATCTTGATTGTATCCCTCTGTTAATGCAATTTAGGATTGTGTTTACTTTTTTGGCACATTGCTAGCTCATATGTTGCATAGATTCTGTCTCACACTTCCTTTTGGAGATTTAATTCTAAGCAATCAAGTTCTCTTTAGTCCTTAATGATTTCTCCACCTTGTTCTAAAAGCCTTCCTTGAGCTTTGCAGTAGGATGCTTTATAAGCAAGAACTGCCTTTAACTCATTTTTGTTCCTTCCCAAAATTTGTCTTGGGGTACAAAGCAAGCGCCTTTCAAATCTTCCTTGCTACTTAACGCTCCAGAAAAATTTCATACTGCATTCCCTTCCCAAAGTTTTGATTTCCAAAATTTCCTCCATTTCCTGTAGACCATCTGGGATTCAGGAATTATGGCCATCTGTTACATGCTTTCCCCATCTCCCTTTTGCTTAGAAATTGCCTCGAGTACATTTAACCCTGGACTTTCTCCTAGATTACTAGGAACCTGCAGTCCACCAGACCAGTTGTAATTCCATCTATCCCAACTACTGCCTATAAAAAGTGGCAGAGACATTCCAAAATGTCAGACAAATATATTTTGCAACCTAATCGGCTGAACTGGAGATGGGGGATCAAACCTTGATACGGTGCTCTACCAGTGACCCTTCTCGGGTTATGCAGGGCACCTTCAGACACTTCTATGTCCAGCACCAGGTCGACTTCAAAATGTCTGATAGCTGAACTTTGGGACTCGGTCTTGGAATGAGATTCAACTTGCTAAAAGCTCTTCTCACCAAGATGGCTTTTTGGAATTGTTGATTTAACCATTTAGTTGTGTCCGACTCTTGGTGACTTTATAGGCAAGTGTTCTCCATGCTATTGTGTGAAGCACAGCATCTTTCAGTTGTTGGATGTTCATATTTGTGTCAGATTTGATGTTATCAAGCGAGTTCTTTGCTTGCCGCTTCTTATTCCACCAACCATTCCTAGAATAATTGCCTTCTTCAATGAATTTGTATGCATGACATGACCAAATAACTCAGACATAGCCTTATGATTTTAGTTTAGAGTGATGTGTCTGGTTTTATACGATTTAACACCTCTTGTTAGTTACTCTGGCCGTCCATGGTATACACAATAATTTACACCAGCACCACAGTTCAAAGATGTCAATAATTCTTCAGTCAGTCATTCTTAGCTTTTTGGACTACTTTGAAGGAAACCTGTAAGGTAGATTTTTTGAAAGGGAGAGGAACATGCATGCCCACAGGAAGACTAGATCCAGATTCAGTCATACCTGAAATTAATAGGACTTTAGTTAGACATGTCCAAAATCTCAGTAATTTTATTAGTTTTCTCTAGCTACATCAAGATCCAGCTCACTTGGCACTGCCATTATAATCGCTGGTCCAGTGCCATCAACATGCTTCCTGATGTTGCAAAAATCTCTAATTGCAGCAAACTTTAGAAATTAATCTGGGGCTATCAAAACTTGGGCTATATATCACTGATCAATGGACTTTCTTTAGTACAAAGGAAGGCTACCTGTGACATGTTCCCTTTGGTCTTTTTTGGAGAAGCATTGTAACTTTCTGTTCTCCTTGGCATACCAGGACAACTAACACTGCAGTAATTTATTTCCTTGATGTGCACAAAGTCCTGCAACTTGCTTAACACAGAGGCTTAACCTCGATTTGCATGACAATCCCAGGATCCTGTCTGTGTCTGAGATGTTCACACCTCCAGTTTGGTAGAAGAGTAGCCAATTTGGGGTGCTTCATATGGGGCGATTCTAATGATGGTAATAGGAGTGTGTGTAGTTTCTTTTTCTTCAAACACTGAGATTTGAATTGAATTCCAGCACAAAGACCTAGAAGAGTTAAGATTTATGTTTTTACTGAAGGACACGTAATATCAGGTTCTCTTAAAAGAGGAGAAACATCAATCAGTTTTATAGCTATTTATAGATTTTTCTTCTCACCGCCCTTTCAGGCTCCACCATCTTTTTAATCTTTTAGTGTGGCCCCAAAATGTTTCTCCCCTTCCAAAGTTGTATTCTCTGCAGTGCTTGTATTCAATTTCCCTCAAGGTTATTTTGCCTCTTGTGACAACGGACCATCTCCAACTACGCAAATGATTATAGTTATGTCCCAATTAAAATTGTGCTCCTAGTCATTCCTTGGTTTCTCTAACATGGCTGCCAGTTTCAATACTTTTTGGGCTTGGGTAGGTCATTGACTCGTCTCTTCAAGAAATGAGTTTCTACATTTGTCAGAAGCGGAGGAGAAAATAACTCACCAAGTGACCTGTCCTTTCTCCCCTCATTTACCCCTCAGAGCTGCAAGTAATCAAACTTGAAAGACAATGGCCCACAAAAGATATTTGGTGAGCCCCACCAAAAAGAATCCTTTAATATATAGCAATAATGAAACAAGATACACGAAAGTCAACAGAGCTGTCAGCACTTGGGACACAGGGACTCCCTGGCTCAGGAAACCTGGTCACAAACAATGGCTTGGTTTTTCACAGACAGACCACATTTGGGACCTCCATCCCAAATGCAACCTTAACCAAAGTAGGTTCCTGGACAGGATGGAAGGGAACAGAAGGCCAACACACACACACACATATTTTAAAACTTAAGTTTTTGGAGTTGTCTCACTGCCACTTAACATTTGGGGACTCGGGATTAAAATGAGTAAAATCTCGGCATCCAGACTCTCCTGGGCAGGATCCCCACAGGTCAAATGCAAGGGACAGGCCCCGGCTATGGCTAAAAGCATCACGTCTCTGGATGGTGCTCTCTGTCCCATGTGGAATGGTCTATATTACAATCTAGGAAGCTTATGCACATTTATACAGAGGACCTTTGCCCCACGGCTGGGGAGCCCCATGAGACTATACAACAAGTGTGATGAGTTTTTAAAACATTTTCTTTCCCATCCCTCCCATCTTCGTTTCCTCCCACCCTCACTTTTTTTTGTTTCTTTTAGTGTTTCTACATTATGTACATTGTTGTGCTTGTAGATGGATCCATCAACTGATGGAGGCAATCTGTCAGGCTGTATCTGAGGAACCTTTGGTTCTTTCAGTCAAAGATGCATTTCTTCGCTTTTGCACTCAACAGGAAGTCACAGGGGAATATTTCCTAGCTTGAATTTGCCTGGGGTCCTTCTGCAGGGAACAGCCTCTTTTTGAAGAGAGAGAGAGAGTGGGCTGGTTGCTCATCTGCATTTGAGAATACTCTCACCATGATGCTGCAAGCCGTTGGGTGAACTTCTGCTCTGTCCATATCAAGGCTGTAGAGGATGGACAGGAAGAACCACTGTAGCTCATGGGAGGAGGGCTTCAGATCCAGGGACAGATAAGAGCAGGCAAGCTTTATCTGCTTTCTCTAGATATAGTGGAGCTCTGATGTCCTTGGAATTTGTTCTTTAAAATCCACGAGAAAAGTGGATGAAGTATGAGGTGTCAGTTTCATTCCATAGCTTTAGATGATCAGGCAGACATACTCATTCCAAGATGTCAAGAACGATGCACATGATGGGAGTTGTCAGTTCTACTAACATTTCCAAAGACTAACCAGATGCATTTCTTCCTCCCCTGGCTGCAGGTTTGTTGGGGATACCTTGGGAATATTATTAGAAACAAGACAATGCCCTGTACCTGATCTGGCCTGAGCAACATGATAAAAAGCCATTTTTCAGGAACAGTCCCCATCAACAGCAGCAGCACCACCATCTCTCCTGGGCTGGAAGGATTTCTCAAAACAAGTAAACCAAGCATTCCTAGTCTCCCATGGAGGCCCTTTTCCAGACAAGAGGCCATCCTAGCAAAAGGAGATGGCTGTCTGGCCAAAGTCTCTTGAACTGATTCACTAGCAGGGCTTCATGGCTACCACCAGGATACAAGGTGAGGTCTCTCTCTTGATGACAGCCTGGGAAGCTATGGGAAGAATTGTAAGTGAAAGTGTGTATGAGTGTGTGAGAGAAAGAAAATGGAGAGAGAGGGAGGGAGAGAGAGAGAGAGAGAGAACATGGTAGGTGGAGCATGATGCCTGGTTTCCATCTGGGGTGGCTTCAATTGTTCTCAAACAAAGAGAGCAGATCATCGTTGCTATTATTGGGAAGGTCGGGGGGGCCCAAGTAGGACAGCAGCTCATCTGGATTTGTCAGCTCAGGAAGAAGCTGAGGACAAGACAGAGAGAATCAGGGTTATCTACTAGCTCTGTGATGGTAGAACATTACACACGTGACCAGGCTGCAGGATCAAAAACACATACAATCAAGAAAAGTGATATGGGGGAAAGGACATGAAAATCTCAGGCAAGAGGCCCGGAGAAAGATGGAGACCATTCCCCAGAGTAGAAATCTGACGGTATCACCTTCTAACTGCCAGGTTGAGATCTCTTGTCTTTGCACTTCACCTTCTCTTAATGGAGACCTTTTTATGTAATTCTGGAGCTGAGCCCTCCGCGCCAATATTTAAATCAAATGTTTAAATCAAACTGTGGTTTTTCTGCCTTGACTGTCTGATATGGGTCTGTCTGCCATTGAAGAGTGACAAAGGCAACACACTGAACTAGCAAACCTGTGGGATGGGACCTCTCTGTGCTGGAGTTACGCTGAATAATAAGGCAGGCAGTAACTACTCTGTATTAGCGTTGTAGCTTCCTGGCAAATGTACTATTGCCACGCGCTAAATAATAATAATGTGTTGGAATGCCCTCTTCCAAAGATTACACCCAGTTCTTCCTTTTTTGACAAAAAGTGAAGACGATTGCCTTCCGTTACGACTATTAATAGTATTACCACACCACTATGTTTCTCATCTGGTGACCTTGCTGCAAGCCTTGTGTGAATTACTATCTTTTTGATTCTCGTATGTCTGATTTTATTATTTGACTTGTATTTTAAATTGTATGCAATTATATTAAAAGCCTATGGCTGAAAGAAAGACATAAATTTTAATTGTCTTTTTAAATAGGCCATGCCCTAACCATGACAACGTTGCCCTGAGTCTGCAGGGAAAGGTCTTTGTACTATCTGCAAGATAGGGTGGGCAAACAAGCCCTTTCTGGTTCCCAAACTACCGCTTAAAATGAGTAGAACTGAATTTTTCAAAGCGTTATTTTGTATGTGGATATGGCTTTAGGTATTAAGCAGATCTTGTAGAGACTTAAGTGCGTATCTCATTCCTTAGTCTTCTCCCTGAGGTGGGTCCCAAAGGTGCTTTTTCAAGAGGCAACTGGACTTTCTTGTTCTTTGAAGACGTTTCGCATTTTATCCAAGAAGCTTCTTCAGCTCTGACAGGATGGTGGGGAATGGAAAGAGAAAAAGAATGCAAATGACCAGCTATCTGCAAGGAATATAAATCCTTCCATTCAGAGCTGAAGAAGCTTCTGGGATGAGAAGTGAAACATCTTCAAAGAAAACAAGAAAGTCCAATTGCCTCTTGAAATAAAAGCACCTTTGGGACAACCATGAGCTGGACGACTAAGAATCTCCATAGACATGTCCCCCAGGTGGGCCAATTTTTGTGGAAGTTTCTAAGGTACCTATTTTGACTCCTTAACCTTCCTGACAAGGCACTAGGATTTGCATAGCCCCATTCAACAATGAGGGAGCAGAGGAGAATATGCTGGCAAGGCAGACACTAGTTTGGGTCCCTTCCCTCCACTTGGTGTGCCTCTTGGAGACTTTCTAATGTCCAGCTGCCTTGAAGTACATCACACCAATTGGATTTCTACACATGGGCACAGCTGCGGGGAAAGGGATTTTGGGGCTTCAGGCATACTCAGAGAGGGGGGAAAGTGAGCTTTGGAGGGGCAGCCCCATGCTACTTACATCAAGGGAAGGTTCAGGCCCATCCACAGGCCCAGGGGGCACTCCCATCCCAGGACCAGGGTTGAAAGGGAGCTCCCCCCCATGTGCTGGGCCTCCGGTGCCTGACTGTCCTGGTGCCTGGCGTGATGGTGGGGGAGGAAGGGGGGGATTCCGATGGTGGAGTTGTGGCTGCTGCTGCTGCTGCTGCTGCTGTTGTTGCGGTGGCTGTTGGCCCGGCTGATTGCTGAGGTTGGGGTTGTTTAGGCCCTGTTGCACCGTATTGTGTGAAGAAGGATCCATCCTGCTTGATGGAGGCATCTGCAATTGCAAACGAAGAAAGCAAAACTGCTGAGAAACAGGAGGACGGGCAGAGCTGCAATCCCGGGGGAGCTTCACCATCGCACAATGCAGGCCCTTTCTCTGGTGCAGGCAACTTCATCCCGCAATGTTTTCCCATCCCACCCTGTGGACCGCCCAAAGAGACCACACTCCCATGTAGTGCAAAGACATATCTTGACTTGGCAGGGTCTGTACACCAGCCTCAATGATCAACAACAGTGGATTTCCTCCGGGCGGCTTACAGTTACATAAAAGCTAAAACATAAAAAGTTAAAAGCAAACATTAAAATCAAAGACACATGGGGAGGGAGGGAGGGAGGGAGCAGGAGCAGAGTGGGGGTGGGATCTGCTGTTACTCAATCAACCACCCCCATTGCTCAGTGCCTCCACTGGGGCCCCCGGCTGACTGGTAGACCCAGGGCTTATGAAAAGATAGGATGGTTGGGTTTGATGGTTGGGTAGGATGATGGTTTGATTTGGGTTGGTTGACTGATTAATAGCAGATCCCACCTTCCCCCCCCCCACTCCACTCTGCCCCCCTCCCCATGTGACCTTGGTTTTAATGTTTGTTTTTAACTTTTTATGTTTTAGCTTTAGTGTTACCCTGCGGTAAGATGGGCGGCCAAAAATTTAATAAATTTAATAAATGAATTTAAAAAATAAATAAGGCTCTCTCACCACACAAGCCAAATACAGGTAGTTCTCCACTTACAACAGTTCGTTTAGTGACCGTTTGAAGTTACAATGGCGTTGAAAAAATGACTCAGGACCATTTTTCACACTTTATGACCATCACAGCATCCCTACAGTTATGTGACTTACATTCAGATGTTTGGTAACTGCTTTGTATTTATGACGGTTGTGACCCCCTTTTACAACCTTCTGACAAACAAAGTCAATGGGGAAGCCAGATTCACTTAACAACCACACTACTAATTTAACAACTGCAGTGATTCGCTTAACAACTGTGGCAAGAAAAGTCATAAAATGGGGCAAAACTCACTTTAAAAAATTCTCTCTTTGCAACATATATTTGGGCTCAATTGTGGTTGTAAGTTGAGGACAACCTGTACACATTCTGGCTAAGAGCAAAATAAGAATCCAGCTGTAAACATGTCTCATGTTAGCAACAAGGATGGAGACGTATCAACCTTCTCAGTCATCCAGATAGAAAACATGACCAAATGAACTAATTCTACTTTAGTGTAGAATCTATCAAGTCTGAAGGTACAAATTTTCCACCCTTCACTTTTATCTGATCCACTTGGGTGGAACTTTCCTAAGTTTCTTCCCCTGATCATTAATCCACTGGGGAATCCTTCCTCTTATCTGTTAAGCAGCATGTCTCCCCACTGTCCCTCAAGGTCACCCTCACATTCCATTCCATTATCTAAACTTCCATCTAATTGACTTCAGGATGTTGGGCATCGTTCCTACACTGCAAAGATTTATTTCTGGTTCTGTTGCAGTGCCTTATTCTGACTGGGATATGCTTTCATCCATTATCCTAACAAGGTGCAGACTCACACAAAAAAAGACACACACACACGCCTATGAAATGTTTGCCTAGCACTTCTTCCAGCATGAGACAGCTGGAAGTCACTCAGTACTTCTGTCACCTACAAGAGAAACTGTCTGATTCCTCACGGTCTCTGGCAGAGGCGCGAAAGACATTTTTCGGCAGAAAGTGCCTTCCCCTCGAGATAATCTGACAAGGACCCCCTGCTGATGAAGAAAATAGTCCCCTTCTTTTCCTCCCTTCCTGCTCAGTGGGCTACCTGAAATTAAATCCCTCTCAAAATTACACAGAGTAGGCTGAGGAGTGCCAGTCACTCAAACCTGCTATTCTTAAGGGGATGTTTTTAGCATGAGGTTTCTTTTATGCATTGAATCACTTGGATCTTTGAGTGATTTTGTTTGGGGGGGAGGGGTGGTTCTTGGCTTGTTTTGTTATTCATTTCTCCACCCTGGAATCCCACACAGAGGAAATCTGCTGATGACACAATGAGCAGAACTGGCCAAGAAAGACAGTTTGTGCCATGCAAAATGTGGCTCTCCCACAGTTCTGCATGATGGCATTGGGAATTAGCTGCTTAGCAGGGGCAGAAGTCACGCATCACAACAGTCAATGTGCCAATTCTTCAAGTGGTGCTGAGATCCAGTCATGCCCAGCACCCCTGTAGATTCTTCAGTCTGGTTAGCTCTCAGCCTTAGCATCGATTGAAGTTTTGTTACCCCGCTGATAACTCGGTGCAATCTGCAGGGGGTAAAGCCTAAACCCAATAAATCTTGAAGTTCTTTGTTGGATTCTGGGCTTGAGGGGGGCAGAAGAGACAAGGTTGTAGCTGCAAGGCTGACTTTGCAGGCCAATGTTCATGGACTGGAGCTTACAGAATAAGACAGCTGGAAGACACTTCTAGGTCTTCTATCTAGCCAATCCCCTGCTTAAGCAGGAGACCTTATACCATTTCAGACAAATGGCAGTCCAGTCTCTTCTTGAAAGCCTCCAGTGATGGGGCTCCTACAACTTCTGAAGACAAAGCTGTTCCACTGGTTCTGTCAGGAACTACCACCTTAGTTCTAGGTTGGATCTCTCTTTGATAAGTTACTTCTTGTCCTGCCCTCAGGTGCATTGGAGAATAAGTTGTCCCATAGAACAGGTTAAAACTCCATTGACTGGCTGTCAGTCATCATAGACAATAACTGAGAAGGTGAAGTTTCAGATTCTTTGTAAGGCACTTTTCCTTGCTTCTGTGAATCCTGGAGCCACCTACTGGTAGCTGGCTGAATTTTGGTGCATTTTTCTTTTAAAGTTGATGTCATCTCTCTCCTATAAAAGGCTGGGCAGGGACTTCATGATGATGATGCTGAGAGAGGAAAACCCTTAGTGCAGAGAAAATGAAGACTGGGACATTTTTTTCTCTTTGTCATGATGCCAGAGCTGGAGGTCAGCCAACCAAAATTTGATTCAAAGAAGGTATGAGAGGCTTTCCCAGGATCCATTGCTTTACACACTAAAGAGAGACAATCAGCTCAGAAAGAAGGGATGTGCTCAGGGCTTGGAGGGGACACTTTTGGGTCCTGTCCAAGCCCTTAATACAATACTTTTGTAAGGTATTAAAAAGCAAAAGTACAAGAAATCCTTGACTTACAGCAGTTCGTTTAGTGATCATCGGCCCTGGAAAATGCGACTTAGACTGTTTTTCACAGTTACAACCTTTGCAGCATCCCCATAAACGTGTGATCAAAATTCAGTTGCTTGACACCCGGTTTATATCTATGACCATTGCTGTGTCCCAAGTCATGGGATTCCCTTTTGGTGACCTTCTGACCAGCAAAGTCAATGGGGAAGCCAGATTCACTTAACAATGGGGTTACTAACTTAACAACTGCAGTGATTCACTTCACAACTGCAGTTAAGTGAGACAACAAACAAATGTCTCACAACAACAGAAATGTTGGGTTCAGTTGTGGTTGTAAGTTGTATGTTGGTGCGTTGTGTGCGTAACAGCAGACTTCTTTATAGGCATGGGAAAGGCAAGGGAGTAAATGATGATACAATGTAAAATAGAATAACAGAGTTGGAAGAGACCTTGTAGATCATCTAGGTGAACCACCCCCCAAAGCAGGAGACCCTACACCATTTCTGACAAATGGCAGTCCAGTCTCTTCTTGAAAGCTTCCAGGGATGAAGCTCCCACAATTTCTGAAGGCAACTTCTGTTCCATTCTGTTGATTGTTCTGTCAGAAAATTTCTCCTTATTTCCAGGTTGAATCTCTCCTTGATCAATTTCCATCCGTTATTCCTTCTCTGGCCTTCAGAGGTGCTTTGGAAAATAGCTTGACCTCTTCCTCTCTGAGGCAGCCCCTCAAATATTGCAAGACTGCTATCATGTCTCCCCTGGTCCTTCTCTTCACTAGACGAGCCATGCCCAGTTCCTACAACAGTTCACCGTATCTTTTAGCCTCCAGTCCCCTAATCCAGGAGTCCCCAACCACTGGTCCGTGGACCGGTACCGGTCCACGGAACAACTCCTACTGGGCCGCTGGCTTGCTGGGCGCCGCCATCTTTTTTTCATGAAAAAGTGCTTCCGGTGAGCTTTTCCGGGTAGAAAGCTCACCGGAAGCACGTTTTCATCAAAAAAAGATGGCGGCGCCCAGCTGATGCCGGTACCGGGCTGCGGCGCCCAGCTGATGCCAGTACCAGGCCGCGGCGTCAAAAAGGTTGGGGATCACTGCCCTAATCCTTCTCGTTGCTCTTCTCTGCACTTTTTCTAGAGTCTCAACATCTTTTTTATAGTGTGGTGACCAAAACTGGATGCAGTACTCTAGATGTGGTCTTACTAAGGCTTTAGAGAGTGGTATTAGTATTTCACATGATCTTGACTGAATCCTTCTGTTATGTTGTGTTACCGCTGTGCAAATGACACTTATGTGATTTAATGTATATTAAGCAGCTTGCATTACCTGTATTATGACATCATGGCACTAATGAATGATATCACTGAGGCTTCTAATAAACACTTATCACTTCCTGTCACAATGATACATGAATTTTCGATCTATCCCGGCCTGGTTTTTCCTTTTTTTTTAATGATTATACAACTCTTTTCTTAGATTATAGTAAAGTCGGTTTCATCAAAATAATATTTATAGGAAAGAGGAAAATGACTCACTAGTCTCTTTTAGTTGCTGAAACACCAAACCTTTAGCATTAATTCTTCATCTCCTCCTGACATATCTATTTTGAATCCACTTTCACAGGCTAGGAGGAATAAAGTGCAGCTGGTGTCTGTGGACTCAACAGCTGTTTTCTCAGGACAGGGGGTTCCCCAGGTCTTGAACTACAACTCCCATGAATGGCCATGCTTGGAGTTAGGATGGGTGGTACAAACCAACATATATTGCAAGGGCCTGAAGTTGAAGATGGATGTTCTGCAGAGTGAAGACTACGGAAGAAGCTTAAAACTAAAATGAGATGCTCTTCCTTTCTACAAAAATGGACCGGAATAGGTAAAGCATTGCATCTTTCTTTCTTTCTCTTTGTTTTTAAGTGTCTCACATAGCAGAACAAGCTGTCTGATCATCCCTGCCTTGCTGACTCCTGAGAGAACTCTTTCCGTTGTTCTCTTGAGGATTCTCCTCGTAAGGCTGGGGGAAAAAAATCTGTATTGTCACAGGAGAGAAATGGGCCATTTGTTCAGCTGCCTTTACAAGGCCTCCTGGTGGCTGGCGCAGGAAATCACCCAAGGAATCCTCTCCTGTTCCTGTGTGCATGATGGGAGTTTTATGAAAAAGCTATAGAAATGGGAGGGCCTTCCAAGTAACTGATTGTGATATTGCTCGTGAGATTTTTATGAACAGTTTTTAAATGGGCCAGGAGAAAAAATAGGCATCGTTTCCTGCCAAACTTCCCAGATTTAAGAAGCTGCCCACAAAATCTTTCAAGGTTCTAACTGTAAATTTTGGAAGCTCCCTGCCTGTGGAATCTATCAAAATCCAATACTAGGACTATTACCTATCATGAAGAGGAAATGGGAGAGGAATTTATCTACTTGTTCAAGAAGACTTAAGAGGAACTGACCATTACAGAGTGAAGATCCCAGAGTTGTAGACCTCCCCTCTAGCCCATTTACAACTACCACTTCCCAATATTTTCCAGGAGGAACGTCTCACTGACCTGTCCAGGAACAGTTGGCTTTTCGGGGGTCAGCAGGCTGCCCGGAATGTCAGACTGGTAGGAGATGGGAGGAGGCCCAGGGTTGAATTCATTTAACGTTGGGGTGCCGGGGTTCACGGTGGGGAATGAATCTGGGTAAGATCCAGAAAAGGTTGAATCTGAAACAACAAGAAATAGTAGTCAGAAGGAAAAAATATCCTTCAGAAAAGGCTTGTACATATACAAATGTTATGAATGAAGGTTAGTTCTAACCCCATGTAATATAATCTAGGGAGATAAATAGGGCAGGGACCTGGCAAGTCATCATATCATTAAGATAATTCATATTAAGCCCCTGCTGTGTGTATCTTGTTTCTTGATGACACAAATGTAACACTTGTGCCTTTCAATGGTGATTATGCACCATACACAAGATAGATCCATGAGATCCCAATGAAGTCTAAAAGAAGTCTCTCTCTCCCCCCCTCTCTCTTATCTATCTCTCCATCTCTCTCCCTCTCTCTCTCTCTCCCTTTCCCTCTCCTTCTCTCTCTCTCTCTCAGAGGAGGAGAATATATCCCTCTCTATAGAGGTGCAGTAGTTAGAATCCAGTATTGCAGGCAAACTCTGCCACAGCCAGTTTGATCCTGACTGGCTCAAGGTTGACTCAGCCTTCCAACCTTCCGAAGTCGGTAAAATGAGGACTCAGATTGTTGGGGGCAAGAGGCTGACTCTGTACAGCTTAGAGAGGGCTGTAAAAGCACTATGAAGTGGTATATAAGTCTAAGTGCTATTGCTGTGCCTCAAGATCTGGCCCTTTCTCCCTCTCCCCACCAGGGCTCAGAGGCTGACTCACTTTGGTTGGTGTAGTCATTGGTGCCACCGCCAGCAGAAGAGGACTGCAAAGATCCAAATGGCGAGGGGCCTGGTCCCAAGGCTGCGATCATCTCCATGACGCTGGGCATCACCATGTGGGTGGGACTCATGGTACGGCAACGCTTCAGCACGGGCCCATCCTGTTCCTCCTTGATGTGAATGTCAGGTTTGATTGGGACCGGCTTCCAGCTGCACGTCGGGTCGATGGTGATCTCTTCAAATTCGGAGCTGAGTAAATGGGATGTTTGCACATGACACTCAACCCTGGCTCCCACACAATATAGTGGATTTATACAACCACACAGCATGTCATGAAGCATGCTGGGGTTGGGCTCAATGGCTTACATGGCCACTTCCAACCCTAGAATTTTATGCCTCTACACAAGACTTCTTGATCATGAGCTGGTAACTTTCAACCACCCACAAGACACACCAGGTGTTATCCTTCATTATATTGTCTAGCCCACAAGGAAGAAAAGGAAAAATAGAAAAGGGAAACAAATAAACAATCCCAAAGGGTTCTAAAAAAGAAAATCCCTAAATGGCTTTAAGGCAAGGGATAACTGCTGCAAATGCCTCACAAAGATTTGAGGGTTGCGGTTGAGGGGCTTCCAACTTACATTTCTGAGGCTACATGGATGGTTGCCTCCGTTCTTAGCAATGTTATTTTTCTCACCAAGAGACATTATTTCATTTGGAAAAACACACAACAGAATACAGTGTCCTGCTTCTATTTCTATTCTTCATTGAAAAAGAATGCTTGTAAGCTGATTACTGACTGCATTATTAGGCAAAGAACAGCTCATAGGAGTGCTACTGTCACTCCACCCATGGAACAAGCTCTAGTGTGTTCCATGGGGCTGTCATCAGATGGACTTCCTTGGAGAAGCATTTCTTCTACCAGCACTGTTATAAGAAACACAAGCCTGACAATATTATGGGAATTCAAATGAGGAACTGTGGCTCTAGAGGAAATAAAACAAGAGAGCCAGCAGCATGGAGTAATATTATGCTGCATTTTGCTACAGGAAGTCTTACATGTTTGCTGCAATTGCTATGCATTCCTGGACAACCACAGTTTGGGGAAAGAGAAGCTGGCTAGCATGTGACTAAATACTCTTGAGTGAAAAGTTGAATAGCACCAGAAAAGTGGAAGTACATCAATTTAACCAACCAGCTCACAAGGATTGAAGAGTTGCCCTCTTAAAGAGTGCTGATTTGATTATCTTTAACTGCCAGTTTCTTGGAGTAGCTCATGGAGATGGAGTGGGGTAGTAAGACATAGGAAAAGATGTGGAAGGAGGCCAAGTGAAGGGAAACAAGTACTTGAATAGGGCGCAGCTAGTTCAGATATGGTTCAGCTACCATGCAGAGAAGAAGGGAGAGTTGGGGGCTTGGGTCTAATTCAGATCTGTTCAAAGGGATCATTTGCATCTCCCTTAACTTTGCTATGAGCATGACTAGCATTTCTTTCAAGGCACAAAAAGCAACTGCTCCTTTCCCACAAGGAATTCGTAATAATCTCACAACAATCTGGTAAAGGTGTCTTGCTGCTCTAGGGCCGTGGTGGCGAACCTATGGCAGCGTGCTGGAAGTGGCATACAGAGCCATTACCGCCGGCATGTGAGCCCTTGCCCAGAAAAGGTCTACTGCACATGCGTGCGTGCCACCTGTCCAACAGCTGATTGTCGGGTATCTGGTGTGCATGCATGGCGATGCAGCGGCACAGAGGAGAAGCATGCAGCACATGCAGGGAGTCATGCACACATGCGCAGAAGCATGCAGCATGGGTCGTGTGGGTTGCGTGCACATGTGCAGGAGGCATGGGGAGGCACACGCATTGCCTTCTGGGTGATGGCACGCAAGCATGAGCAGACAAGCACACTCGCAATTATCGGCATGGGAGCCCAAAAAGGTTAGCCACCACTGTTCTAAGGCATCCCAGGCAGGGACATGAACCTGACTGACCTCTCTTATGGGTTGAGACTGGCCCTTGGCCTTCTTCTTAAAGGCCTTCTTTCTGAGATCTGCTGGTCTAGCTCATTCTAACCAATCCAACCTCCAGAACAACTGAATACCCTTCAGAGATACTATTTCTATTTCTCTTCTAAAGTCTTAGGTTTCATCTAATTTCAAACATCAGAGTGAAAGAAACATCTGAGTTAGGGTGGGTGGGTGGGTGATAGCCCTTGCCCGCCCCCTGGTGGCTATAAAACAGCATCACCACACCTGGCCAATCCCATTTCTTTTTGTACAAGAGTGAAACAAACCCAGCAAATCCAAGAGACTTACTTTTGAATGTAAATCAGGATTCCCAGCATGTACTGGTCCACTTCAAGCCCTTCCAACAAGGCTGTTTTACTGAGTGAAAGAAGAAGAAATAAGGTGTGTGTGTGTTGGGGGGGAGGGAGTAACCATATAAAACTCTGACAGGCTGCAGCTGCAAAATGTCAAAACTGCAGGTGGGGTGGGGTGTAATTTTTGGCTGTACAAGATTTTATAGGTAAAAACAGAACAGTAACTGAGTATATAGTCAGCCAGACACCTGATTATAATTTTAAAAAGAGCAAGGATGTTGGGACAAACTGTATCCCCTCTGGACCTTATTGGGAGGTGGAGCCCAGCCCAAGAATTAATGCTGGGCCTTGGTGCTGCTGTCAGTCAACTGCCAACCTTTAAGTGATCTGTTTTGTGAGCAGCTCTTGACTTCAGCCCAGTAGCCCTGTGACAATTGTGCCACTGAAGAGGAATGGAAAAACTATTGCTTTTAGAACTTGCTTTGTTCAGCCCAAGCTGGCCACAATAAACAGCTACAGCAGGGGTGTCAAACTCATGTCATCATGGCAGTGTCACGTGACATATCCGGACTTCTTTCCCCTTCGCCAAACCGGGCATGGCCAGCCCTGGGTGATGCCGGGAGTTTGACAGCCCTGGGCTACAGAAAATAATCCACAGCATTTTTTCCCCAACCATGGGAATTTTAAGATGTGTGGACTCCAATTCCCAGAATTCCCTAGCTGGCACTGAAGTCCACACACCTTAAAGTTCCCAAGGTTGGGGAAAACCGGTCCACAGGTTTTCTCTTGTATGCTGCTTTCCTAACCAAGGCCCTTTCTTGGATTGAATATCCCAGATGTCTTTGTTTTTGTCACAGCCGCCTCAAATATAGATACTCACTTGCAGACAGGACATCTCCAAGTCCCCCTTTCACAGTTTAGCTGCAGATAGGATTCTAAGTCAAAGCACTGCACAGAGAAAGAAAACAGGAGTCAATTGGGCAAAAGGCATTAGAAAACAACCCCAAAGGCTTTGGTAATAAGGGCAACTGTCAAATTTCAGGAAAGGATGATACCTGTACTGGGTCCCTTGAAAGCTTTCCCTTCCACAAGAGTCAATGATTGGGGTTTTCTTCCTCTCTTCTCTTCAACAGCCCTCCTCCCTTGCTGCAGGGCTCTGTTCCCACCTTCTCCGTTAGTCAGGGGGTAAGAAGACATGGGAGATGACTATAGACTTACCTGTATGTGCCTGCAGTCGTGACCCCTGGCGGGAAGCTGGATTCTCCGAAAAGTAATGGGGCACTTCAGAGACACCTTAATGGCTGTCTGCTCCACACCATCTTCGCCATTTGGACCTGGAGTCCCAGGGATTGTGCCGCTACTGAAGTTCCGTTTGACTAAGGATGGAAAAAATGACGTGTCAATGCAGACCCAATGGATCAAGGGCAGATTTGAGAGACTACCGTGTCTTTTTCTGCTGTCAGTTTCCTGTTTCTATGCAACTCAGTGAGCTGGGAGGGGTGATGGCCAGCAGAACTGGGAAAGGGTTCAGATACATAGTATTCCAACATCAGCTAACAATGGTAAGAGCTTCCCTGGTCCATCTGATAATTTGGCCCTCCTTACACGTAATCTTTGACTTACAGCCATTTGTTTGAAGTTAGGACAGTGCTGAAAAAAAGTGATTTATGAGTAGTCCTCACACTTACAAGCGTCATAGTGTCCCTTTGACCACATTATGAAAATTCAGACACTTGGCTACTAGTAGGTATTTACAATGGCTGCAGCATCCCAGGGTCATGATCACCATTTGTGACTTCCCCAGACAAGCAAAGTCAATGGGGGAAGTCAGATTTGCTTAGCAGCCATGCTGTCTGGTGAATTTTGGGAGTTGAAATCTACAAGTTTTAAAGTTGCCAGGTTGGATACCCCTGCTCTACACTCTTCTATCTGGTCTTCAGAACAGCCTTTTCCAATGTGACACATTCAGAGTAGTTTGATTCTCATCAGGCCTATTCCAATAACTTACAGGAAGCATGGAAATTTCCTCCCTTCTCCTCCTGAGCTATGCATTTATGAAGCATCTGCCCTGTTGCCATGCATCTCTGATCCCAGCCTTATGGAACTTTACAGGAATTCTACTGATGGCTTTTACTCTCCTGAAGAACCAAGCCAGACAGTTCTGTGTCTTTGGCCAGACTTTATAGGTGGGGACAGATACTCACTTTTGGTGATGCAGTGCTCAGCCGGCAGCAGCCGCTTCTTGATCAAGCCTTGCAAAACAGACCGTACCGAAGGCCTGTGCACCAATTGCAGGACAAAAAGATGGGACTAAAACGAAGAAAGAAGAGAAGTCATGAGCAGTGGCAGATCTGCCATCTTCAGCATGTCTTGCTTCCTGCCATAAAATGGAGGCTGGAGGATGGGGAAGGAAGGAAGGAAGGAGGAAGGGGTGACAGGAACCAGAGGGGTCAATCCAGAATGAACTGGCTGATCAAGGATGGAGCTGTGAGAACAGGAATGCGAAACTCAACCAAAGAAGTGCAGAACCCCAAAGCTGTTTCTGAAACATTGGAGGAATATGATTGGACATTGATGGGCCAGTCAAGGGTGGGGAGGGTCAGTGAAATGGGAACATTGTGGGTTTTGCATGAGAATAGTCAGATCCAGCTTTGCTTATGCTGTAGTTGCTTGACTATGTTGAACCTTTCACTTCAACAAAATGGAGTTCGAGGGTCTTTCTTTCCTAAATGTCCAAGTTGGGACAAGCCACACAGACAAAAAGGCCCTTCTGAACCCAGAGAAGTAGGCATTTGAACCCAGGAACCAGTAAATGAAAATAGTATGAATGAAAAGCTACTCCACAAGGAAATGCTATCCACACAATCCACTTATGAATTTGCTGCTGCAAGGAATGACAAAGGTAACTCGGTTGGCTTAAAATAGAGGAAGCATCCCCTTTATCCTGGACTTCCTGCACCTGCGTGGATTTAGAGGCAGAATCCATTCAGCCAAGGGTAGGCCAAGACCATCGTCCCTGATTTGGTGTCCTCTGAGTAGGCTGGGACTGCAGTCCTATAGAACTCTGTATCCTAAAGGAATTTGGGAATAGTGGTCTCCATCTGCCCAACAGACCTCAAGTTGGAAAAAAGCTGATACAGGAATTTTGGGAATTAGAACAAATGGCAGTGGAGGTGGTCATCTGTTTGAAGCAGCTGGAGTATCAATGCCCTTCACAGCAAAACAGGCTCAGAGAAGCTGCTACCTTCACTCTAAAGACCATTACCAATCGAATAGAAGTCAAACTTACACAGCAGCAAGCCGTGACTGTGATCTGGATGGTGTTCCTGCCGGGCTGGCAGACCTGCTTTAGGTAGAGGGGTTTGTGTGAAGTCTTGTTGTCTCCCCGTTCGATGGTCAGAGGGGTGGCATTCACGCTGACCTGGACTGAGGCTGGCCAGTTGGTGTTCATTTGTCGGTCCTCGTGATGGTAGCATTTAAACTGCAGCTCTAAGTCAGGCCTGAGAAGCAGAGAGGAACCACAAAATGCCTTTCTAAAGAAAATACTCATGGTGCCTTGGAGAAGGCAGGGAGACGATGGGGATAAGAACTTTGCAATGGGAGAAAACTCTAGTATGTCCCATCTCTTTTGGCCATGAACCTGTGTGGTCCTCAATTCCTGCTCAGAATTGTGCTGCTAGAGTGCAATTCCCAGCAGCCCTAAAGAACACTACCAAAAGTGATGGGTGCTAAGAACTGTAGCGGATCAACACCTGGAGAATCACAGTTCCTCATCTCTATCGTAGAGTTCTCCCTGGGAATGCAGAACCTCTCCCTAGAGCAGGGTTTCCCAGGTATATGAACTTCAATTCCCAGAATTCCACAGCCAGCATGGCAATTGCTGAGAATTCTGGGAGTTGAAGTCCTCTCACTTTTAATTTGCCAGCAGTGGGAAATACTCTCCTAGAGAGACAGGAAAAACATTTTCTTCCCAGTTAAAGGAAGTTCCTTCTTCATTGGTTAAGATTTATGAAATTGTTTACTCACACAGCAAAAGAACACCTACAAACACCTGGGGAGAAGGGCTATAATTTTTTTTGATGAAATCTTTGGAAAGTCTCTCTCAAACAGACCTGTCAACTAGTTATCTGAAGTAATTATTGAATTAAAATCAGCAGGATGACATCCAAACACCTTCCTTAAATGATAACTGAAACAGAGTCACTTGGTAGAGAGATGGACAGGACATAAATTTAACAAATAAACTGAAATGAAGCAGTTAACAACTAGTTGATAGCTACTATTGCATTTTTCTCCCCCCCCCCCCCCTTTAATTCTCTACTGCTTTTCCTCCATTGTTTCTCAGCTGTCAAAGCAAATCCTTGAATAACTTCACTTGTATTGTTTTTTTCTCCAGGATATTTTCATCTTTTCCCAGAACTTTCATCTATTTGTGAAAGAGCATCTCAGGTTCAAGTGATTGCCAGGTACAGCCCAGAGAGTCAGAAAAAAGCAGAACCCGTTGCTGCTTTTTTCAAAAACAGACAATTAAAATATTTCATCTGTGCTATTTCAGAAATAAGATATGAACCAAGGCTGTAGAAACAACAGGGGGAAATGTGCTATTGTACAGAAAGGTGGATGAGATCATAAATAGAACCTTTTCTGGTTTTCAGGACTGTTGGGAGTTAGGAGGCAAATAACAGTTTAAAGTTTTGCTCTTTTGCTTTGTTCCAATGTGGGTTCAAAAGCAATGATGGAGTAAGTTCTAGTTTATCCTCTGCTCCCAGCTCACCACTAAAAAAAAGAAAAGAAAAATGCAGAGTTCTGGATTTAGCTTTCAACCACCTTTCAAAAGCTGCCTGTACTTAACGATCAAGGCGGCAGAAGCCAATTCTATGTTAGAGAAGGAATAAGGTGATATGTTGACTTAGTAGCATGGCTTGGGAAAACCATCATAGGTCTCACCTGAGCATCAGAGTCTTGTAAACAGAGTCCCTGAGCTGGAAGACATGGTTGCTGACCGCCAAGTTGTGCTGGAGGCGGAAAGGCTCCAACACTACACCATCCCGTACAGGGAAGGTCAAACGCAACTCATCACAAGGGTTTCCTGGTGGGACAAAAGAGAGTGGGCTGATCATGATCGGAAGGTGTACAGCCACAGGTGCAGGGATGATATGGGGCAGAGGAGCCAAGGCAGGTGTGGGTGGAAACAGGCTGACCCAGCAACAGGGGACATAGTAAGATATTGTCTGGGCTGTGGGACATGGCAAGGGGCAACCAGGTGGAAAAGTGCTGCAGGTGGTGTGAAGAACAGGCCTGGCTTCTGTCTTGACTCCATCAGGAGGGCTTTCGTCTCCTTTCCTTCCCCTAATTCTGTCAAATTTTGCAAGCATTTGGGGAACGAATTTTGGCACTCTCTCTCTTCTTTCTATTCCCACTGCAAGTTAAGGAAGTCTCTCAAGATTTTTTCTCCCAGCACCAAACTGCCATTCCTTAACTGCCACGGAACACACCTGACCCTCAAAATTCCATTGCTCTGCAAGAAGTCCTAAATTCACATCAAGGTCCAGAGTCCAGTGAATATGTAGAATCTAGAGGGGAAGTTTCTCCAGGACTCAAGCATTTTGAGTTGCAGCGGGTGCATTGAGAAGTACAGGCACATCTGTGTGAACTGGGCACCTCATTTTTCAAATACCTTTTGGGGAAAGATGCCTTGTTCCTTAAAAAATAATGAGGGAATGAGGGAGACATCCATTTCTTGCTAAAAATGTGAGTTTTGCAAAACGGAATTGTAGTCAAGAAAAGCTTTGCCACTTAAATGCTATGTTGGTTTCCTACCTTATTGTGTACTACCCCAAGTCTCACAACTGAGATGGTCTATAAATATTGTAAATGAATAAATCAATTAACCAGTGAATTGTCATTATTAAATGATGTCTCATGTGCTCTTTAGCTGGGGGAAGCCATAAATCAGCCAGATTGGAAGGACTTTCTCAGTGTCCAAGACTTACCAGATGGTGAAGGATGCAAAGAACCAATGTTGGGAGAGGGAGAAGGATGCAAAGAATTGATATTGGGTTTGATGTCTGGAAGGAATGGTGACTTCACATCCTGTCCTGGGGACATGTAGGGAGGGATATTACTTCCAGGGGTCATTGGAGGTGTGGGATTACCAGGTAAAGGAGAGCTTGGATAACCAGGCATGGATCTTCCCGGCTAAAAAGAGAACAGAATCATAACTCAGACATTATCAAATCTTACGAAGCTTCAGCCCACCTTCCAGTAAAAACAATCTCAAACTTTAACACTATAGAGTACAAGTTGAAAGTCTTCTGAATATTGAACCAGAAGAAATATGGCTGCATTTACATCCTACTGAATATGTATTTTCCAAACTAATATCCTTGAGATGTATTAACCTCATGGACACAAAGGAGTGGGAAAAATTGGCACATCCATGTGCTAAGGCTTCCTCACCTTTTTTTATGTGGGTCTCTCCCACCCAACCATTATTGCTTAAAATGATTACAAATAGTCCTTGACTTATGACCACAATTGAGCCCAAAATTTACATTGTTAAGTGAATTATTGCAGTTGTTTAGTAACGTTAAGTGAATCTGGCTTCACCATTGATTTTGCTTGGGAGCACATGCAATGGTCATAAATATGAATCAGTTGCCAAAAAGCTGATCGTATGACCATGAGGATGCTGCAATGGTTGTAAATGTGAAAAATGGTCATAAGGTCACTTTTTTCAGTCCCATTGTAACTTTGAACAGTCACGAAATGAACTGTTATAAGTTGAGGACTACCTATACTTAGAATTATGCAATAGGAAGAATTATAGGTAGACTGTTTAAAGCAGGGGTGTCCAACCTTGGCAACTTTAAGACTTGTGGACTTCAGCTCCCAGAATTCCCCAGCCAGGAGTTGAAATTGACAGTCTTACAGTTGCCAAGGTTGGGCACCCCTGCTTTAAAGTATCAAACCCTTACAAATCGTTTACGCAAGAACTACTACAAAATGTAACTCTCAATGCAAGATCAAGGCAGTGTTTCTTCTTCCTGGGGCCATTCAGCTCACAACAGTGAGCAGAATCCAGTTTGTTTTTACATGGCTGATTTCCTCTTTTGGACTTTTCAGCTGGAACCTGGCGACTGGCCTGTTCTCATTTTTCGCTAGTCCTCAGCCACCTATGAATGGGCCAAGTGTTTTACAGAAGCAACCATTTCCTTTTATCTTTACAGATCGCCAAAAAAAATATTGCATGTCAGCCTTCTCAAGCTTGAATTGGCAGTGGGTAAAGGGCATAAAGACGCAAGACTTCCTGATTTACTTTAATCACATTGTGATCTCTGTGTACCAAATAAGAGTTCTATTTATACTTCAATCAACGTCCAACTTCTTGCCTTTTCTTTCACCTACTTTTATGAAAAGCACTAGAAACTACTCTCTTGTATATAAGAGACAGAGTTTACACCTGTATCTTATTTTGGGGACTGCAAGATCCGGCATCAGGTTGTGTGCTTTTTACCATGTGAAAACTATCTCCTGTGCTGCATATTTCAATTTCCCCCAAAATATCCTTTCCCCCCCAGTTAAACAGTTGAGAAAAAAATACACCCATCTTTGGCCATACCAAGGGAAGGCTCTTGGAAGTTAAAAATGTAACATTATTCTCTTGGAGTGAAAAAGGCAACTCTGACCCATAATAGGGAATAGGAGCTAACCCCTTGAGATGACACCGGAGAAAAGTATTAAAAATGGACAAAAAATAACTTGCAAAAAGATGCAAGACAGTGCAGTTCTTGTTAACACATATACCCCTTTTCTTTAACGCAGGTGGCAGAAGTGTTTCTCCATTTTTTTCAAGTGGGATAAGAATGGAAAAGAGGCCAGTCAAGAAATGAACGCAGCAAGAGCAGGATGTTGTGCTTTGTATGTAAAAGGAAAGAGAAAGGGATGAATGAGGGAAAGTATGAAGGTATGTTCTAGGTGGAAGAACTTTGTGAATCTATGTAAGACACATGAATAAGCCACCCTGGAATGCAGAGAAGATTGGTAAAGAACTGTCAAAGATGGGGAGCTGGAGACTAAAACGTAGGAAGAACAGTTGCAGGAATTGGGGCTGTCTAGCCTAGTAAAAAGGACTAGGGGGTGACACAATAGCAAGTGTTCCAATATTTGAGGGGCTGCCACAAAGAAGAGGGGGTCAACCCATTTGTCAAAGCACCAGAAAGCAGGACCAGAAATAATGGATTAAACTGATTAAACTGATAAAACTGATTAAAGAGAGAAGAAACCTGGAACTAAGGAGAAATTTCCTGATAGTAAGAACTATCAACCAATGGAACTGCCTGCCTTCAGAAGTTGTAGAAATATGGCAGAGAGATAACACCTGGCATCTAACAATAGCAATAGCACTTATGTACCACGCCACAGTGCTTTACAGCTCTCTCTAAACAGTTTACAGAATCAGCATATTGTCCCCCACAATCTGGGTCCTCATTTTACGGACTTTGGAAGGAGGGAAGGCTGAATCAACCTTGAGCCACTGAGGATCAAACTGTTGGCAGTCGGCAAAGTTAGCCTGCAATACTGCATTCTAGCTGCTGTGCCACCACTGCTCTACATTATTGCCAAATACCTTAGAATGCCTCATCAGGAGCAAACAATAGAACTCACCCCATTCATAGTAGCTTGTCCATAGCTGTTGAAATTGCCACCATTGAAACTGGCATTTTGACCATTGAACTGATCAGTAGGCTGGAAAGAGAAAAGTCAAAAACATTTGTTATTAGAGTAATCTGAGTAATCAATTTTTGTAACTTTTAAGATGTGTGGACTTCAGCTCCTAGGATTTCCCAGCCAGCATGGGAGGTGAAGTCCACATATCGTAAAGGTGCCAAGGTTAAGAAATGCTGCTTCAAAGAATACTGAATAGGTTTCATAATTCTACAGTCTCATTTTATCCCAAGAGCAACCAATGACAAACAGAAGACTGCTCAATTCCCATGTTATACTAGGGCAGGGGTGTCAAACTCACGTCATCACAGCAGTGTCATATGACGTATCAGGACTCCCCCCCCCACTTCACTAAACCGAGCGTGGGCATGGCCAGCACATGATGCATCCGGCCCACGGGCCAGGAGTTTGACAGCCCTGTATTAGGGTCTGACCTTGCTAGTGATTTTTGATCAATTTTCTTCAGCCCAAAAGAGGGCTTAGCTGCATTGGACTGCTTACTTGAAATCTGTTTCCAAATCAGATCAAACGTTTATTGTCAATGCACAACATGTGTACAATGAAATTGAAAATTCCAAAGAGTTTGCTGTGCATGAACTGTTATAAGGAGCAAATTCTACAAGTTGTGTGTTTCTTCAATGTTGAATACTGGACACCGAACAGCAAACAAGTTGAATAAAGTCCCTAACAAAGGGAAGAGCATGCAGCCAGCTAAATATCTCAGCACCTAACCATTATAGAACTTCCTCTCAGGCCTGATTTAAAGTCCTTCCACCCATATTATGTTGATGTAACTCTTTTTCTTATTGCAGGTAGTCCTCATCTTATGACCACAATTGAGGCCAGAATTCCCACTGCTAAGCAAGTCTATTAAGTGAGTTGCACCCAATTTCAAAACCTTTTTGCTGTGAGTTTTAAATGAATCACTGCAGGGTTAAGTGAATGAAATGGTCTCTAAATGAATTTGGCTTCCCTCATCGACTTTGCTCAGAAAACAACTGGGAAGATTGCAAATAACCATTGTAAATATATGCTGATTGCCAAGTGCCTGAATTTTGATCATGGGACTGTGGGAGGATGTAATGGTTGTAACTGTGACAACCTGTTTCAAGTAACTTTTTTCAATGCCATTGTAACTTCAGTCACTAAACAATTAGTTGTAAATAAAGGACTTCCTGTATATACTGTAGCATTATTGTTCTTGTAGGCTATTTTATATTGCTGGTCTGAGACTGCACCAAAGAAACATCCATTCATCTGCATTTATACAATACACCAATGTGTACCTTAGTTGGGCTCACACAGTATGGAAAGATAGTCTTGCCCAACAGGGTGTTCTGCAGAGGGATGCAACTTTTCTACTGGAAAGTCTAGGCTGGCTACAGATTTGGAGAAGGGAAATCAAATCTATTTGAAAGAGAACCAGACTGAGGATGCTTGAACTAAACTGCAACCAAGGTTTACAAATGATAAAGACTAGATTCATACAGTGCAGTAAACCAAACAAAAAAAAACACCTTTATTACACCTCAGCACAAATTGAAGATTCAAGAGGTGTGTGATGGGATTAAGTGAACTAAAAGAAAAAGGATCTGGATCAGTTTCCCCAGGAACAAGTGGATGCATTGAATTAAGACCCAAGAAACAATGCCCCCCCCCTTATTGCTGGCTTACTCTATAAACTTGAGAGAACTTTTTCTTCTTCCCCTGTGAAATTATTCAATCAACCTGCACTGACTCTGGTTGGGAAGAATTGTTCTTATGACTGCTAGCTGAAGATTAGAACAGAGTATTTTATTAGAACCTTAAAGTTCCCCAACTATTTTCAGGATGATGGGTTTCCCGCTTTAGAATCCTCCATGATCATTGCCCAGAATTTTGGTAGCTGAAGATCCCACATCTGAAGGGCACCCAGGTTGGAGGAGGCTTTCCTTACAAAATCACCAGAATAATAGCAAAAAAAAAAAAAAACTAGTGAAAATACAGATATCTCCCTCCTTCCTTAGGGAGATGTTCTCTTGATGCATTCATCATTCCATTAGGAATCTGCTTTCTCTCCTTACAGAATGAATGTCTGTAGGTCTCTTTCACCTTCACTGAGAATCTGGTACAGCTGTTACCATAGCAACGGGGTACCTTATAGTATGGGCCGCTAGTACTGGAGGCAGAAAGATAATGGCTCACTCCCTGTTGCAGTGGCAACCGGTGACCAGGATAGGAGGGTGACGAAGCAGATGGTTGAGGCACATTTGTGGTGTACTGTCCGGCTTGAGAAGGATACTGGCCACCTTGTATATATTGTTGTCCTGGATAACCCTGGAAGAGATCCAGAAAAAAGGCAATGTTGCTGCCTAAATCTGTAAACTGCTTTAAAAATAATAAATTGAGGAAGGGATTAACAAGAAGTACATCAAGACGTTCAGTGAGTTTAGGCATCTCCTGGAAAAATCAACTGGGGGAGGTTTAAGGGTATCTTATGTCTCTGCTGTCCACTGGCTCCATAACCCATCAAACCCTTGAAAAATGTTTGTCCCACCCAATCTTCCCTGGCTCTGGGAGCCTCAAGAGAAATGCTGGGGTGGGGTGGGGCTCTAGGTAGCTTGCAAATGACTCTCCTCTGTGTTCTGGGGAATTCTGCTGGATGCCCCCACATTTTGGGACAGGCTCCTGGCATACATTTCTAGATTTCATTATAGGGTGGCCGGTGTGGTCACTGCCATCTTGTCTCAGGGTACTGTCAGTGAGACTGAACGATTCAGCAAGGGTAACGTTTCAGTCAGTTAAGAAACTAACATGTTCCCTCATTGTAGGCATCCAGATCAGACCAAGAATGTTAATTGCTAGGCTCTATTTCATTCATTTTAAGTCTGGATGAAATCTTCAGGCCCAGGAAATAGGCAGTTATCAATATTTCAGGAGGGAGCTCAGTATGTCCAACATACTTAATAATTCTAACATACTTTCCTCTTTCGGTTTATCTCTTGCAACAATTTCATCACCTCATGCTATCTTGATGTCAGAGATTCTTTTATTGGTTGGAGCCCAGGTTAGTGAGCTTCAAAACTAGGAGTACAAGTAGCCTTCAACTTATAATCAAGTGAGTCCAACATTTCTGTAGTTAAGTGAGACATTTGTTAAGTGAGTTTTGCCCCATTTTATGACCTTTCTTGCCACAGTTGTTAATTGAATCATGCAGTTGTTACATTAGTAACATGGTTGTTAAGTGAATCTGGCTTCCCCATTGACTTTGCTTGCCAGAAGTTTGCAAAAGGGAATCACATGATCCCAGGACACAGCCGCCGTCATAAATATGAGTCAGTTGCCAAATGTCTGAATGTTGATCACATGATCATGGGGATGCTGCAAAGGTCGTAACTGTGAAAAATGGTCATGTCATTTTTTTCAGAGCCCTTATAACTTTGAACAGTCACTAAATGAATTGTTGCAAGTCGTGGTCTACTGTAGTTTTGGGTAGGAAGAATCCCAGGTTCCTTCCCTTCCTGTTTCTGCTTTATCCTCTCCTTTTCCTTAGACTGAGTTCTTGTAGTTGGATGTAGGACGTCGACTAGTTTCTGCAAAATCTGCACTCTGTGACCTGGTCTCTAGGCAACACACCCACAAGTCCTCAAAAGCTAGTACTCACTGTTTACTACACCACTCTTTCTTAATTCTAGTGTAACTCCTATTCCTTCACTACTTCTTTTTGTGAATAACTCTTCTATTTGTCTTAGGTTGCTTCAGCTATTTTACTTTCTCAAACACAACCACCCCCTCCTGTCCTCTCACACTGGGCATAATGGAATTATATGCCCAGACACCAAAGGTCCTGTTGGTTGGAAATTCTAGAATTATAGCTGCAGCACAATGGAATGATACTCAGATGGGCAAGACTGACACTCCTTGGCAAAGGACTCAAGCTATAACCTAAGGCTCCAAAACTTGAGCTTCAAAACCCTTCCACCTTTGATACACACCTCACTGGAATAAGTTCTCTTGACATTTTGCCGGGGTATCTGCTGGCCTTGTGGTGGAGTAGGGTAGCCATGTTGTGGCATCCTCTGCCCAGCATACAGGGCGCTCATTGCAGGAGTCCTTGCTGTGTTCATGTTCATGGGTGACATCCCAGAGGCGTTCAACATGCTGGCTGGATTCATCCCAGGAGGTACAGTTGGTCCTCGAGGTCCCGAATGAGGGAGGAATTGATTGTTGAAAGGCTGCGCAGCACCCATCTCCAGAAAAAAAAAGGGAAAGAAGTTAAATAGGATTTGACACAAAGCCAGACCTTAGGGAAATGGGTTTGTAGGATCAACTACTGGATGTTATAGTAGTCACAATTCTAATGTTTCTATTCAATCCAGCTGGCATTTTAGCACCAGACAGACACGAAATGGCACATCAACTGTAAGCCATAGCACTTTCATTTGCAGGTTCCTCACTTTGGCTCAAAATTATTTCAACTCTAAGACCTTGTAAAGTTAACTGTGCTCATTTCTCAGTGAACAATTTCAGACGCCTCATTTTGATGCATAGATTTGGGGCCAAAAAGTGAATGACCCCTCCCTTATTTGTGTATTCTGACTACCAGGATTTATTCATTTTTCTACATCGGCTGTGCTAGCATTGATAGACCACTGTCTTCCCGTTATGTGCACAGTCCATTATCTGAAGCTGCTGCTGAAGACTAGATCCAAAGAATGACATTGTGTCTACTTGTACACAGAAGATCCCTGGCATTTCAATAAAGGAAGAGAAAGCCAAATAAAAGCCAAGGAGAACTACTTTGAGATGTAGTGTAGCCAGCAGTAACAATAAACAATGAACTGGAAGACTTTATACTTGAACAGTGCAGCCAGTTTTAGATTATCACAAGGAACCATATAGAAAGTTTGCAGGTCATCTTGGTCACTATGCTGTGATCCCAGATTCCTTGCAGATGAGCAGGAAGACCTGATTTCTAAGCATGAGAGGGAATATCATCTCTTGATTGAACACCTCTCTATGGATATGTCAAATGAAATTTCCTTCTATATAATTCCTGTCTCCATGGCTTTTACCTCTGTGGCTATCTCTGCAGCAAAAGAGAATAAATCTACCTCATAATTTGCCTTCTAAAGTTGTGAGTGCTCTGTCATTTTAACCTTTAAAGAAGAAACTGGACAGTCACTTGTCTGGAATGGTATAGGCGTTTTGCTTGAGCCAGGGGGTTGGACTAGAAGACCTCCAAGGTCCCTTCCAACTCTTATTCTGATCATTGTTTATGGAACTCCTTAGTTACTTCCAAAAACACACAGCCCTGCTGCCCTGTATTATTCACACAATTTCATTCTTTGACTTCAACCCATGTTTTAGGTTGAAGAACAGAAAGAGGAGGAGAGAGTATATCCACATCCGGTATTCTAGGAGTGGACAACCTGTAACTTGTGGACTGACTGCATGTGATTCCTTGGCTTTCTGAAGTGGCACCATCTCTGGGAAGGTGCTACTGAATGTTTCATAATCCTGCCTCTTGGACTTGTTATCACAAAATATAAATAGATGGCACAGCTCTCCCATCATGCATCTCTTCCGCCATCTGGTTAGCACTTTCCATCACCCTTATCCCACATTAAACAAACATGCTCAGCTTACCGCTCCATACTGACTCAACTCCTGGCTCTGCTTTTCTTGCAAGGCAGCAACTGTGGCTGTGGCTGTGGCCGTGGCCGTGGCTGCTGCAGCTGCTACAGCAGCTGCAGCGGCTGCTTGGGTGAAGTCTGCCGGGGGTCTCCCAGTATGAGAAGGAATGCCCATTCCCCCTGGGCCATTTGGGCTCCCTGCATAACTGGAGAAAAGACAGGGTTTATAGACAGGTGGCATATGTTCTGTACACTCTAATGGTGGCCACAATCTAGTGTTGGAAGTCCTTTTGAGTACCAGGGACCAGTTCCATGAAGAAAGGTTTCTCTGCAGACCAGAGGGGACATGGTTTTGCATGCTACCTGCATCTGCAGATGGGGCTTCACTTGTAGCCCGGTTGCTGGCATGCTGCAGACCGCAGACCGGGGGCTGGAGATCCCTGAATTAAGAGATCTCAGAACTGCTGCTAAATGGAGGAAAAACAAGTACAGGAATTGTGACATTTAAGAAATGTGAATGGAACAGAGAGAAGGGCTACATTGAGTCCTGTTTTTTAAAGACACTGGCTATGAATATTTTAATCTTAAATACTATTGGTCATAAACTACATCGCTCTCAGCTTCTGAGATTCCTGTCCAAATTATAATGGCAAACATTGGGATAACTTCTTTTGTTGTTTTGCAATGTAGTTGAACAGGTATGCATGCATGGAGCAAGTAAAAGATCATAGGAAATCAAGAAATATAATTAAGATGTGGGATGCTCATCATTAAAAAGGGAGAGACAGAGAAAGCATGCTTCTTTCTAGGCTCCCAGGTGCTGGTTGTCAAACCCAATTCCTCAGATGCTAATGACAGGCTGAATGTCTACATCTTGATAAAATGTTTTGGAGATACCATAAGAATTCCCATGGTATCTTCAGCTTCCATGCAGTGGAAGGAGCTGAGGTGCCCATTGAGGCAAGGAAAGGTGACGATGTACAAGTAAAACATCTGGGATATTAGTTAAGCAGACCTGTGACTATGAGATGGCCATAACACATACACAGCCTTTCTCCCACCGAATTGGCACCAGGAATAGCAGAAAGGGGCTGACTCTGGGTACAATTACAAACAAACTCATCTCTTCCTATCTCTCTGGTGACTCTCCTCCTGGCACATGGGGTTGATTCACTAATTATATGGAAACGTTAAAGAAGGAATGTTGCAACTATTTTAGGATTCCAGGGAAAGAAGAAAATGACCTTTTTTCCCAAGAGAGACAGACAGAGGGGAGTAGTAAGGGAGATTCTCAGAGTAGGTTCCCACTAACCCATGGTTTGCTTAGCCACACAAACTCAGGTTTACAAATCGAAATGGCAGAGTTCACCCAACACATTTAAATGCAAGAGAGCAAATCATGTTATGACTTAGTTCAATGTGTGTATTCAGATACATGGTTACTTTCAAAGACACTATATAAGAAATGCTTTATTGTTAGTATGGGAGAAAATCAGAGAACGGCACTATTTGAAAATACCAGTTTGGCTTTCAACAATGAAAGTACTTATTCACCCAAATGTTTTTAATATGGGAAATGTGGTCAGATACAAATATATTTTGAATGAAAAGGGTGAGCTCAAATCTAAACAAGAACTGGATGAGCAAGGGATCGAAATGGTTTGGTATTCACACATGCAAATACAATCTAGATATGAAAAAGATGTAAAATTATATGGTTTCTATACAGAATTGACAGAACTGGATAAGATACTAACTGGAACAGAAGAAAGGTTGATAAAAAATTGTATAACTACCTGTTGGGCATTAAATTGGAAGAGGAACAAGTGAAGGAGACAATGATAGCATGGGCAAAAAAATTGGTTATACAATAGAATTAGATAAATGGCAGAAGTTGTGGGATAGCAATTATAAGTTAACAATGTCAACTGCATTTAAAGAAAACTTGTATAAGATGTTTTATAGACAGCATTTAGCACTGGTGAGATTGGCAAGGATGTTTAAAGATAAATCAGCTAAATGTTGGAAATGCCAACGAACACCTGGGTCATGTGTAGAAGCTAAAAATATCGGACAAAAATACATACATGGTTGGAAAAGATGATACAACAGCATATTGACTTAAAACCTGAAATATTCCTGTTGAGGATCTTATCTGAAATGTACAGTGAAGAGAAAGTATATTTGATTGTCCATGTATTAACTGTAGCTAGAATTGTGTTTTCTCAAAATTGGAAAAGCAGAGATTTCTACTGATAAAAATGTGATTAGAAAAATATTAGAATGTGCAGAAATGAATAGATTAACACTTGCAATTAAAAAGGAGCCAACTGAATATTATAAGATATGGGAACTATTTTATCGATGGCTAGAGAGAAAATATGAAAGCTAGAAATAGCTAATAGATTAGTGAAAATAAGTTTATAGAATTAAACATGCTAAGAAGAGGAGTGTTATAGTAATAGAGATATTATGTATATTAAGATAAAAATAAGATAGAGAATAGATAATTAATACCAAAGTAATGAACATGGATGTAAATTTTAATTGTTATTGCACAAGATATTTGTACCCAGATGACACACCATTAAATGGAAGATGAATTGTATGTACCTTAAATAAAATAAAATAAATTTACAAAAAAAATGTGTGGATTCAGTTTGAACTGTCCAGCAGGAACTATCACTGCAACTCCTCCAAGGAAGCGTCAATTTGCTTAACCTTAGTACTCTCCTATGTTCTGCCCCTAAGCTCTGTGAATTCATGGTCTGTCAGAAATCACACCGACAAGCCACAGGAAAACAAATGCAGGGGTACCTCGGTACTCTAAAAATTGCTGAATTTGGTACTTGATCCATTTTGGTGCAAAAATGTTGTCCCAATACTTATTGTTTGTTTGGTACTTGGTGCACAACCTGGAACTTGTCGGTATCGGATACCTCATGACTTGCTATCCTTTCCAGCCAAAACAAGGGGTCACACCTTAGTCACGTGGTTTGTTTGGCACTAATCATTTCTAGTACTCATTGTGCCTCCCAGAACCCATTAACAATGAATGCCAAGGTACCACTGCACTTGGAACTGCATGGAATGGCGTGTCCTCCAGGAATCCTTAAGCCAAGTCTATGCCATAACCAGGGTACATCAAAAGTAATTTTTGAAGGCTGCACTACAGGTATTTGTCAAATTATGAAGGCTGGAAATTATTTCCAGAATACCACAGAACTCTGGCTTTAGGGTAGGACAATTTTTATAGACACGGTTAAGCAGTCATTGAGCATGTGTAGTGGACAATATTAAATTCTGAAAAGCAATTGGGAATTTCATTCTCTGGCTTTATTGAGGCAGGGCAGCTTAGAAATGTAAAACAAGAAAACTCAAATAAAGAGTGTGTGGCTCCAATGAGCCGAACTGAAGAAGGCCATCTTCTGCCATATATGAATGAGAAAAGCAGGGAGAAGTTTCTTCTGAGCCCCAGATATGACAATCATTAAATGGGCTAATGGGTGAGTGTTTAATCAACAATGGACTGCTATGTAATTTTGTTCAAAAGTAAGTCCTGTTGTTGAGGAGGATTAATTCCTAGGTAGGCAAAGCACTGCCCCCTGTTTTAACTAAGCTGCTGATGTTGAAAAATGCTGATTGGAGCTAAGGTGGCAGATGCAGGAGAGAGGATGAGATATGAGAAACTTCCCTGGGAGATCTTTCTCACTTGTAGACATACACAGGTGACCTTCTGAGAAGTCTCTTTCAGTTTGTTTGCTAGTGACTGTTTATCTTTTCAGATTATAACCAAATTTACTGCCTTCAAGAAGACTATCAGTTTTGAAGTGAGTACCAAACAAAGAAATAAAATACAATGGGTAATCAATAGCTCAGTGAAAATCACCATGGGCAGACAGAAATGCCACCAATGAACCATCTCTCTTGGTTCAATGCACAATCACTTGTTTAGCTGATTGCACACTAGTAGTTCCAAAAACAATCAACCAGGTGAAATCCTAGCAGGATATCATGATATGGAGGTCATATATTTGCTTGTGAACAATTCACTGTTGTGTAACTCATCCAGGACAGGCTTGGGGCTTCATGTATTGTGTAACTTCTGCTCACTGTGATTGTTTCAACAAATTAACAATTTGTTAATAATTTCCCATCAAAGGCGCCACACCTGCTGATCCAACTTGCCAACTAGGACCTACCTTGTGGTGAAGCCTGGCCCTCCAGGGTATGAACTGCGGCTGTACATCCCAGGTTGCACGTAACCTTTGCCTGTGGAACCCTCAGGGAAAGGCTGCTGTCCCATAAATTGTGGTGAGTTCATGCCAGAGCCACTGCTGGCCACGCTGGGCATCATGGGATTGCCAGCGGTGTTTCCTCCAGGACCCATGGGATTTCCAAAAACCTGCAAAAGATCAAGGGAGGAGAGAGAATTCAGTTAGATCAGCAATGCAAGGATCTACTTGTGGTCAAGCAAGATGTGGAGAGGTATGAGATAGGAAGTCAGAATCCAGATATTTTAAAAATCAGGTGTTTCCACGCACGCTCTAAGTCCAGAAATTTATTTTGTATCTGAACTGAGTTTACATCCAGTCCTAGCAGCTTCTTCTGCATAATGCATCTATCAAGACCAAGATGTATGAGAATGACTGACCCTTATTTTTCTTAGAGAATCTCAGCAACTTGCTGCAAAAAGCATCAGAGATGAACTGGATTTCTCCTTCATTTCTTTGTAGACTAAGTAAATTCAGGCTTGCAACCCCTAAAAGTATGATATGTATGGGGGAACGGGGAGGGGGAAACGGGGAGCTTCTTTTAGCTTTTAAAAACCATATAAAATTTATAGGGCAGAGAAAAAATTAGGGAAGGCCCATCTTAGCCTGATACCTTATTGCCAATGTGTCTTCCAACCCTCAAACTTTGGAATCTGCTCAGGCTATTTAATCTGGAATAAATAACATATCTGCTATTGCTAAGTTAAATTATCAGTGAAGCGAGGAGTCGAGAAAACAACTAGAAAGACTGTCAGGAAGGTTGTGCTTCCTGACTTTTTTCAGAAGAACTTCATTGGGCTTAACCCAACACCTTAATTTATATTACTCTGATTTTTACGAATTTTATTTCTCAGAATTCCTTCCATTTTAAATCAGATGAGTTTCAGGTAATTCTGAGATCCAAATCCATTTAAAGAGACCAAACGAAAGCAAATGTGCTTCAAGCAAACAAGACCTTTTCTTCCCTGAAAGGCCTCAAAGATGAAAGAGGCTGTTGTGTTGCTCGTGAAAAGTCCAATATCTCTTCCTCAACAGATGAGACTTCAGTTGAGAATATTTGGCAATTCCTGGTCAATGTAATATCTCACCAGCAGATGTCAGAAAAAGAATCAGGGTAATATAAATTAAGGTGTCGGGTTAAATCCATTCTCAGTTCACTGCAGGACTTTAGCCCAGACATTATCTCACAACTAGTCTACTTCACAGCCTTGTTGTAGGAAAAATGGAAGGAAGAGGTATTAAAATACAGCTTTATGTTTCTGGAGAAAAAGTAGAATATACGTTTAATAAATGATGTTGACTCAACATTCAACTCAGGCCTGTTCAGACACAGGTCCCAAATGAATTTGAAGAAACTCATTTCCCAGGAAAGCACATTCACTGTGGCAATTTTAACTACTTTTAAGAGTGAAGGAGACCCACTGAACGTTTAGAATTGTGTTATTAATTTAAGTTGTTAAATATGCAGGGTACATAGCTGAATTACATGTGGCTCATTTTACATATTGCTTGCTTGCCTTTAAGCTCACTTTTATAAACAAATAATTTTGTCTCCTCTTAAGCCACAAATGTTTTCAGTTTGTTTTGTGGATTGAGCTTCTGGCTTTACCAAAATGAAGCTGTGAAAACTAATTAGTGTAAAATGCTAAATGCCTCTCTGTGTCGTTTTCCTTTACTGTAACAAATTAACATAGCTACTTCCTTTGGAAACTTTCACTTTGCATAGTATGGCCTCGTTCCTTGCAAAACAGTTGAAGATTGAAATGTACCAGAAGATAGACACCTCAAGCTGGTAGATGAGTTTCAGATAAACAAAAATAAAATATTTATGTGGAAAGACTGGTACTAGACCTGGAAGTAAACTTCATCTTTTTTTTTTTTCTACCTGTTTTGTATCAGGAATTGGGGTGGGATGGGGCTTGGCAGGGAAAGGCCCTTGTGTGATTCTTGGTAGCTCTCTCTGCTAATGTGAAACTTCATGGATCAAACTGGAACAGGGGTGGCAGAAGGGTCCACTGGGAATTTTTTTCATGTAGATGACTCGTTTCTGGTCTCCTTTCAGCAGAGATGGGGTAGTCCCTTTCACCGCCCTCTTTTCCTGCATGACTGGAGGTGCCTTTTTGAGAAAAAGGATGTTTATGGGGGAAAAATACCTCCCTTGGAAAGAAAGAAGACTTGGGTTGTAAAAACTCACCTTTTTCTCAGTCGAGGTTTTTATGAATTGTATTTCTGGGCAACTGGCTTTAGTGATAAATGCTAGTTTGATATTGTTGTTTCCATGTATTGCTGCAAAGAGTTGCATGAAGCTTGAAAGGGGACTTTTAAGGGCAGCTCAAATACAATTTTAAGTAAAAATAAATTCTCTGATCCACCCCCTGTAAAAAGAATGGCCTAGGGACACCTGTTCCAGGGTCTTGCTTCAGCAAAATTTGACAGGGGGTTGAACAGGGGGAATCCCATATCCACCCCCCACCCATCCATCCACCGTCCTCTCCCCCCACCTTTTGAAGGCTGCAAAGGGTACCTGGCTTTGGGATGTGTTGCTGACGCCCCAAACAGTGGTTACCACCGAGAGAGATCCTGCAGGCTGATTGGTAGTCTGTTGCCAAGGAATTGACTCGTAGGCATATGAACCATCACTAGAAAGGAAAACAAAACAATACACGGCTGAGGTGCCATGCCAGCAATTAGGAACCTCTGGGGAAGTGTTCAGCGAAGGGGCACAGGGGGAAACGGGGGTGGTATTTGCGACTGGATACGAGGAAACAGCAAGCAAGCCATCCTGAGCAAATTAAAAAAATAGGATTGCTAGGTACTTATGGGTCATGTTCATAAAATGAAGCCTCTTGTTTTCAGCAAATTCCAGGCATGAGGAAGACAGCAAAATTGCAGGGGAAAGCTCCAGTTTTGATGGGATGTGGTTTTCCCAAACTTTTGGTGCACTTACGGGCTTTCTACAGTGCAGCCTTTAAACCCTACGGAGGAGAGGAACCTTAGGATTCATAAGTAAGGATGGGCAGTTCCTAGGAGATAAGCAGTGGTCACTCACCTTATTTTGCCATCTGCCCGTTTTATGGTCACCTTTCTGTACCTTGAAGTATGCAGTCTGCAGCTTAAAGCAGCCTTCCCTCATCCCAAAAATTCAAGGAACTGCAACAGATTCTGGTTTATCCTGACTCTACGACACTGCTAATGACCTTAATGGCCAACTGAAAGTGCATCTTGGAGGTAGTCCTCAACTTACAACCCTTCATTTAGCCGCTGCGTGAAGTTACAATGACTTCACCCAGTTCTCTTACAACCACTGCAGCACTACCAGAGTCATGTGATCAAAATTTAAGTGCTTGGCAATTGACGTGTATTTACCATAGTTGCAGCCTCCTGGGGTCACATGATCACCATTGGTGACTTTCTCAGCTGACTTCCAACAAGCAAAAGTCAAAGGTGGAAAGCCAGATTCGCTTAACAACTGCATGATTTGCTTAACAACTGTAAAATTGGGCCTGACTGCTTAACAATAGCAATTCCAGTTCCAACTGTGGCTGTAATTCAAGGACTGCATGTCCCCCTTCCTTTTATTAGGTGGTAATTTCCAAAAGGGAAACAAGAATTGCTGGACACTCAGGGATGGGAAACTCTGCATTCCACCCAAGGGCTCCATTGTATTTCCAGCCTTTTTGCAACCCTCAGGGCTGGAGACATTAGCAAAAGGAAAGAGATCAGGATGCTGAGCCCTGTGCCCACATTACAAGAGTTACCGAACAGCAAACCTCCAGGGTCAGATGAAAAGAGGCATGTGTAAAGCTGATAGAGGAGGCAAGCTGTATCATACTCACCCATGCGGGGTGGGAGGGAGCGATGGTTTCATTGGGTTCATGGGGGTCATTGGCTACAGGGAGGTGAAGGGGCTGGGTGCAGGATCCAAGGCCACACAGGGAGACCGGTCACTGCCTCTCAGATTCACAGCAGCAGATAAGACTAGAGGGAAGCAGGCAGGAAGCAAGACATTAGCAGCTGCACAGAAAGACAGGAAGTTTCTTATTCAAAGTCACACTGTCCGTCCTAGAATTATGCACTGTATTTCCCAACCAGAGAAGCTTCCAGAAATGTGGTCTTCTGCAATTCCCATGCTGGTCGGAAATTCTGGGACTTGGGGTCCATACCCATATTTCTGGAAGCTGTCCAGGTTGGAAAACACTGCGATGAATGAATGGGCAGCATCTACCCAGGGTTCCAAGACAAGCAATTAGGTGCATGAGGTAGCCAAACCATGTCATTTGTTGTAGTCCAGAGGACAAGCCTTCTCCCCCCATCCGTTTTATCTTCTCAGCACACTTGCAAAGAAGGTGGGACTGAGAAAGTTGGAGACCAGGCCAAAGTGCCCAAATGAAGATACTTGAGCTTTTCTTCCTCCAAGGTCAACACCCTTGCTTATAATTTATGACTGGCCCCTCAAGTGGCAACTTCTCCAAACTAAGGTGACTAGGTGAAGCAGACTGCCGAAGACACATGCCAATATATAGAGCTCCTCTCCCAAAACATATGCTCTCTTGGCCTTGATGATAGGGCCTCCCTCCGTGGTTCCCCATGTGTCCTCAGATACCCTCTTCTTCTCCAACAGAGTCAAGGCTAGGAGTGGGTGGCAGAGCTGGCACCCTGTCAACCCAATGACTTTGAGCTCTTTTGTTCTGGAGCAGCAAAAGTCTCCCCACCCCTTTCCAAGATGCCATATTTAATTTCTAGGCCGTGCAGGTAGAAGCCAAGTGCACACCTCTCGTGCCTTCTCTTCCACAATGATTTGTCTGTGGCTCTACCCCCTTAGTTTTCCTGCGGAGAAGTGGCCCCATTTGTTTAGCAGAGGCTTTCGGCTCTGATTACGTCAACTTTATACAGCGGCCAGAAGGAACTTGGCGTACTGCCCAGATATGGCAAAACAAGGTCCTGGCAAGAGCAAGCTGTCGAGCTGGCCTAGTTACACCAGATTAACTCTGTGTTTCCCACAGCTTCTGGAGCCACTCAAGAATACACATGCATCATTCTACCTGAGCATCTATCTGGCCGTTGGAACCTGAAAGTGCCAACATATTGCTTGTTATCACACCAAACAGAAGATGATACTAGAGAGGGAGACCGCAAGCAGTTTTGTCCTCTCAACAGTCAAGATTTTCAACCTGTTTTCCATACGTAGATGATGCTGAACTGTATCTCCAGCAGTGCTGGCTAAATAACATGGTCACTGGTGAGGGATCTTGGGTGCAGAAACTTCCAGAGAACCACAAGTTGACTGTTCTATCATTAAAAATAGCAGCTAATGCCCAGCCTTCATGAGGTCAGTTTGGTCTGATGATGATTTAGCATGTGCAAGTTTAGGGGACTGGAGACTAAAACATATGAAGAACGGTTACAGGAACTAGGTATGGCTAGTCTAGTGAAGAGAAGGACCAGGGGAGACATGATAGCAGCCTTCCAATATCTGAGGGGCTGCCACAGAGAGGAGAAGGGGTCAAGCTATTTTCCAAGGCAGCCAAAGGCCCAACAAGGAATAATGGATGGAAACTGATCAAAGAGAGATTCAACCTAGAAATAAGGAGAAATTTTCTTGACAGTGAGAACAATCAATGGAACAAAAGTTGCCTTCGGAAGTTGTGGGCTTCATCATGGGAGGCTTTCAAGAAGACATTGGACAGACTGCCATCTGTCAGAACTGTTAGTCTGCTGGGCAGGGGTTGGACTAGATGACCTACAAGGTCCCTTCTAATTCTGTTAATTTAAACAAGCTAAAGTGCAAACCTAGCCATTTGGATGTAGACAACAAACTGTTTGTAAGCTACCCATGGGTCAGAGCATCTTGTGAAACAAAGTCTGTATGGCTGCAGAAAGAGAGCCGCCCCAACATTCAGGTGGTGGGGATGGTAGGTCAGGATAAAACAGTGATTTCACGGGATATAAGGGACCTTACCTTTACATAGGAAGCTAACAGTTGTTTGATATGTTAGAAACAGAGAAGATACTTGGGGGGGGGAGGAGGAGGATCTAGAGTAAACCCAATCTGCTTGACGAGACTCTAGGAACCAGGCATCTCTTTCTTCTGCTATTTTTTTCCCATCATCCCAGATTGTCTAGATAGTGGGAATGACATAGTAAGAATAGTAAAGCAAACATGCCCAGGCAGATCTAATTAATTCCTCTTAGCTTTGGGAGGAACAGTAGGAAACCCTATTTCCAACCCCTCCTCCCTGCCCTCCCGCTGTTCAAGAGTAAAATTGTAAAAAGAAAAATTTAAGGAGAGAAATGCCACCCCCTCTTCTTCCCATTATTCATCCCATGCAAAATAGCAATAGCAATGCCACTTATATACCGCTTTACAGTGCTTTACAGCCCTCTCTAAGTGGTTTTAATTCATTTTATTACAGTCGTAGACCAGAGACCTCTAAGTGGTTTCCAGAGTCAGCATCTAGTCCCCAACAATCTGGGTCCTCATTTCACTAACCTTGGAAGGATAGAAGGCCAAGTCAACCTTGAGTCGGTCAGGATCAAACTGCTGGAAGTCGGCAGATTCATCCTGCAATACTGCATTCTAATCACTATGCCACTAAATTGTGTGAATAAGGTTCTAGAGGGCAATGTTTTCAATATTAAGCAGAAATCAAGAGCATGGGACATAGCTTCAAACTGATAAAAGGGAAGTTCAAACCTCATATTAAAGTCAAATTTTGATGGACGAGTTATTGAGGAAACACATGGAACTTGGATGCTTAAATAATCTGCATGTCTCCCTAAGATCACACATTATGTATGAGCACATCAATTCTCTTTCCCCTAGGATATTTAGGTTTTTTTTATTCAGTCATTTTAGTTATTGGCTTTTTCATCTTGAGAGGAAAGGAACAAAAACATCCTCCCAAAAAATCATGATGTTGTGGAGCAGAAGGTAGAAAGAATAGAACAGAAACACATTCTGGATAAAAGATTTCTCCTTGCTCTTTTAGAACAAGGTAAGGCTGTAGGACTTTTTTGGTTGAGCGAGTCTCATTAATACACTGATCAGCTCCCACTGATGTCTCATTGCATGTAAATCAAAGATCAGTTTGTCAGTAAAAAAAGGGGAACACAATTCTTAACAAGGTCTGAATATTAATGCAATATCAGAGGTTTTCAATTCAATGTGAAGGATGTGTGTTTGTGTTTATTTTCATAGTCATAATGTACACTGAAGATAGTATTTAATTTCATTGTACGAGGTGCAATGACAATAAAGTAAACTAAAACTAAACTAAACTAAATTAAAACAAACCATTTCTTCTGTAGTGACTCCACTTCAGCCAGTTTTGTTCAGGACTGCCTTTTTAACAGGTTGATGGTTAAGGAAAAATATATTTCTATTAATTTTAACAACCTTAGTGTGCCTGGTGGAACAAGGACCATGGTGCTTGTCAAGAAGTACAAGTAATCCTCAACTTACAACAATTGGTTTAGGAAATGTTCAAAGTTACAACAGCACTAAGTGACTTATGACTGGTCCTCAGACTTACAATCATCACAGCATCCCCACAGTCACATGATCAAAATTTGGCAACAGGCTTGCGTTTGCGATGGTTATAGTGTCCTGGGATCATGTGATTGCTATTTGAGACCATCTCAGTTGGTTTCTGACCAGCAAAGTCAACAGGGAAGCTGTATTCACTTAATGACCATACAATTCATTTAACAACAGCAGAGATTCACTTAACAACTGTGGCAACAAATATTATAAAATCAGGCATGATCTGCCTTGCTTAGCAATGAAAATTCTGGTCCCAATTGTGGTTGTAAATTCAGGATTACAGGAGTCGTGGTGGTGCAGTGGTTAGAATGTAGTATTGCAAGCTAATTATGCTAACCATCAGAGGTTCAATCCTGACTGGCTCAAAGTTGACTCAGCCTTCCATCCTTCCAAGGTTGGTAAAATGAGGACCCAGATTTTGGGGGGCAATAAAGGGATGTTGTAAACTGCTCAGAGAAGGCTGTAAAGCACTATGAAACAGTATAAAAGTCTAAGTAATATTGCTACAGTGCTATTACTTGTATATTCCCCTTTAACGTAACTAATCCACTGAACTGCAATCCGGTGCTGATGCTACAAGGATGGTAGATGCCTGTTTGAAATGACTGCAGTTTCCTAGATCAGTGTTACTATCCATTACAAAGGCACACAGAAGCCTTGGCAACATGCCATAAAGCAGGAGAGGGCAATTGTGGCCCCTTTATGACCTGGAGACTTTAACTAACCATGGTGGCTCTGGAATTCTGGGAATTGAAGTTCACAAGTCTTAAAGTTGCCAAGGTTGGACACCTTACTTTGAAACAGTCTTCCTATAATTTCCCTATTGCATGCATTTTAGTAATCATTTCAGAGAATAATGGCTAGGTGGGGAAGACCAACAGAAAAAGGAGAAAGCCCCAGCATACCACATGGCTCATTTCCCCCAATCCTTCATGTCCATGAAGTTAACACATCTCAAGGACATTATTTTGGAAAATATACATTCAGTAGAATGTAAATGCAGCCATCCTTGTTCATGCTGGCTCAGGAATTCTGGGAGTTGAAGTTCACAGGTCATAAAATGGCAATAGTTGCCCACTGCTGCAGTAAAGTACTACTTGTCAGTATTCTTTTCAACAAGGGCAGGAGAAAGAAAAAGGGGCATTTTCATGTTAGGTGACAGCAAGCAGGCCATCCTCCTTTGCCTGTATACCTCTGCTCAGCTGGGACAACAGGTTTAAACAAGGATATGTTTTGCTTCTGGAATGGTTCACACTTCTGGCTTTCTCTTCCCATTACTGGTGATTCCTTATTGTTCTTATTAACTATTTCGAAAACTATTGGTTATTTATTTATCTTGCTGCATCCTAATCAAAGCACGTTGAGCCTAAGAAAATAAGATTTGGTGTAACTAAATATATTCTTCTCCTGTTCTTGCAACAGATCCTCTGCTCTA